TATCTTGCTGGTAAATCAGGATCTCAATATTACATCTGGTCAAAATTTTTCAAATTTTCAAATTTTTGTCAGTTTTTTGTTTGAAGTGTCAATGAAAAAAAATTTTTTTGCAAAATGTTTTTCATTTTTCAATCAGCTTCACTTGAGATGTGAACAGCTACATTTCCTAATACATCTCATCATTTTTCTCTATGCCAGTACAATAAGCTATAGTATGACGTGAAAGAACTAGACTTGAAATTTGAATGTTAATTCTGATAGCCTTGAATAAACCATATCTCCATGACAGAGATGACTGGAAATAACAAATTTTTTTGAAAACCACTAAATACGGAGAAAAACTGTACACAAAACTAAACAAATATTACTTAATAAAAAAAGTTTAGCATTCATTTCATTTTAGAATCATTGCTGTTACTTTCATTGTGATTTGAAGGGATTTTGTTTAAATGATTGACAAAAAATTTCCTTTCTGTGTTTAAACTTAGAGACTAACAAATTTATTAGAGCATAAGCTTTCGTGGACTACAGCCCACTTCTTCGGATGCATATAGAGTGGAAAATATATTGAGGAGATATATATACACACATACAGAGAGCATGAACAGGTGGGAGTTGTCTTACCAACTCTGAGAGGCCAATTAAGTAAGAGAAAAAATCTTTTGAAGTGATAATCAAGCTAGCCCAGTACAGACAGTTTGATAAGAAGTGTGAGTGAGAATACTTACAAGGGGAGATAGATTCAATGTTTGTAATGGCTCAGCCATTCCCAGTCCTTATTCAATTCCAGCTCAGCAGTCTCTCCTTGGTCTGGCCATTCAATGACAGACCTGTGGGTGGCTATCTTACAACAGAAAAACTTCAAAAACAGACTCCAAGGAGAGACTGCTGAGCTGGAATTGATATGCAAACTAGATACAATCAACTCATCGGGGATCGATATAGCGCGTCTTAACGAGACGCGCTATATCGATCCCCAATAAATCGATCGCTACCCGCCGATATGGCGGGTAGTCTGGGCGTACCCTGAGAGTCTTTGTATATTGAGTAGAATTCCTGGACCAAAACATTATGGGGCAAGGACTTTTCAAATGTG